GTGCTGGGTCCCCCCCAGCACTCGCCGCCCTGGGGCGGGGCTGGCGGCTCGTCTCCGTCGTGTCGCTCGTCCGTCTCGTGTCGTTCGTGTCGCGTCGTTCGTTTCGTCCCCCTGTCGGGTCGCGTCGTGTCGTGGTCCCGGGGCCGTAAAACGCGGCCACCCATGGAGTGGGTGGTGGGTAGGGTTGGCGCTGAGCACGGCTCGCGCCCCCTACCCCGACCAGGGAGCGCGGAGCACGGTCTCCCAGCGCTCCCTGGTCGCGCTTAGGTCGCGCCACGGGGGCATGGCCCCGACGGTGGCGCGGCCTGCGCCGTTTTTGGTGCATCTCGCTGGCACTCGCCATGCCAGCGGAGTCATGTGGCTGTTCATGGGTCGACCATAAAAAAAAATCCTCCTCCTGCTGCTCCTCCTCCTCCTCCTCCTTCTCCTTCTCCTTTTCCTCATCCTCCTCCCCTTCATCCTCCTCCTCTTCCTCCTCCTCCTCCTCCTCCTCCTCCTCCATAGTCTCTGACTCTTCCTCCTCCTCGTCCTCGTCCTCCTTCTCCTCCTCTTCCTCCTCGAGCACCTTCCCCCGCACCCCGCCAGGCCTGTCGGCGGCAGTCTCCTCAAATCCCCATGCGTGGCCGCGTCGAGAAATGGCGGCCGAAGGTTTTGCATTATTTTTGCCCTCCGGGGGCCTTCGCCGGGCCTCAGAGCCGTCGAACAGCCACTCAGGATGAAGAGCCGGTCCCAGGGAAGGGGTCCAGACATTTGGGGGGACATGTCGGCAAAAAGTCAAGACGTCGGGGGTGTGGCGAAGCGGCGCGCTGACGGGTTTCCCGCGCCAGCGCGTCACTGGTGCTGTGTTTGCTCCCCCTGGCCCCTAGCTGAGCCCGCACTGTTTGAGGCCGCTCGTTTTCGGCCCGGGTGTTGCAAGAAGTTTTTTTTCTGAGATCGAACTCCGTGTATAACTACGTACACTAAAAGCCCGATGAACAAATCCACTGGCCGAGTGATACGACTTCCCACCTAAAGCGTATCAGCCGGGACGAGATCTAGAAAACAGAGCCGGAATGCAACGCCGAATGCTTCAGCCAGCGCTTGGCTCTAGACCAAAACTGGGGACTGCGCCAAACAAGGACCCCCCTGGGATTTCAGAGGGGGCCCTTCCCGGCCTCCGGGGCACGGGAAGCATCGGCCCCCGATCGCTCAGTTCGGTCCCCCGATCGCTCCCCCGGCCCCTAGCTGAGCCCGCACTGTTTGAGGCCGCTCGCTTTCGGCCTGGGTGTTGCCAGAAGTGCCCCCGCCTTAAGGACCCCCTGGGATTCCAGAGGGGGCCCTTGCCGGCCTCCGGGGCACGGGAAGCATCGGCCCCCGATCGCTCAGCTCGGTCCCCCGATCGGGGGGCCGGGCCCCCCGTTCCCCGCGCCGGGAGCTTTCGCAGCCAGGGGCTCGTCGCCGACCCCTCGGCGATATACCGCCGACTCCGCGCCAATCCCTCCCCCCCGAGCAAGTCCCCCCCTTCATCACGTCCCCTCCTCCTCTACGCCCTCCCTTTCCTCGCCCGTCTGCGCCCCCTTTCTATCACTCCCCGCTCCTCGCTCCTCCCCCCCATCCCTCGCCCCCCTACCTCCCCCCCCCCTCCTCTACCACATTCCCTCCATCTCGCTTCTCCTCGCTCCTCGTCCCTCCTCGCTCATAAACGCTCTCCCTCCTCCTCCTCCTCCTCCTCTCTCACTTCTCCTCCTTCCTCGCTCCTCCTCGCTCATTTTCGCTCCTCCTCCTCTTTTCCTCCTCCCCCTCCTCCACCTTCCTCCTCCTCCTCCCCCTCACCCTCCTCTTCCTCTCCCTCCTCATCTCCACCCCCCCCTCCTTTCTCTCACCCTCCTCATACTCCTCCTCCTCCCCCCCTCCTCCTCCTCCTCCTCCTCCTCCTCCTCCTCCTCCTCCTCCTCCTCCTCCTCCTCCTCCTCCTCCGCTGCCGGGGCGCGCCCCGTGTCCTTGCGAACACGTAGCCCAGCAGGAGCGCCGACAGGAGCGCCCGCCCGACAAAACAGCCGTCCCCGACGCCACCGCTCTGCAGGGGCCACCGCTCGGCAGGGGCCACCGCTCTTCGGGCCCGCCACCGCCACCGACGCCACCGCTCTTCGGGGGCTACGCTTGGGAGGGATGGGTCGGCGTCTCCGTCGCAGAAGCGGACGCCGCCGTCGTCGTCGTCGCCATCGTCGTCGTCGTCGTCGACGTCGTCGTTGTCGTCACCGGTCGCCGTTGCCGCCGTCGGTTGTCAGTGGTCGGTTGTCGGTTGTCGTCGGTTGTCGTTGTTGGTTGTCGTTGTCGATCGTCGTCGTCGTCGTTGTCGGGAGTCGTCGTCGTAGTCGTAGTCGTCGTCGTCGTCGTCGGCGTCGGCGTCGGCGTCGGCGTCGGCGTCGGCGTCGGCGTCGGCGTCGTCACCTGTCGGCGTCGTCGTCGTCGGTTGTCAGTTGTCGGTTTGTCGGTTGTCGGTTATCGTCGTCGCTTGTCGTTGTCGGTTCTCGTTGTCGGTCGTAGTCGTCGTCGGTGTCGCCGTCGTCGTCGTCGTTGTCGCTCGTTGTCGTCGTTGTCGTCGTCGTCGCCGTCGCCGTCGCCGTCGCCGTCGCCGTCGTCGTCACTGGTCGTCGTTGTCGTCGTTGGTTGTCAGTTGTCAGTTGTCGGTTGTCGGTTGCCGTCGTCGGTTGTCGTTGTCGGTCGTCGTCGTCAGTCGTCGTCGTCGTCGTCGTCGCTGTCGTCGTCCTCGTCGTCGTCGGCCATCGTCGTTGCTCGCTGCTGTTGGGGTTTGAAGACCGCGGGAGTCTTCGGCTGTCTTCGAGGCCGGGGAGGGTTTCAAGCAGCTGCGCCTCGTCCAAGGGCGCCCCGGTGACGCCGGGAACGCCGCGAGCGGCCGCCGCCGAGCCGAGGTGTGCCCCGAGAACCGGGGGGGCAGCGACGGGGTGCGGATGGGCTCGGGGGGAAGATGCATCGGCCCAAGTCGTTTGCTCTCAGGAGGAAAAGAAACACACAGACACAATTAATCCTCGATTCCCAAGAAAATTAGGAAAATATGGGAAGTGGGGGGGAAGACAGAAACCCAGAAAATATGGGAAAATATGGGGGATCTGTTTATTTGTGTGTATTTATTTGTGTGTCCTGGGGCCTCTTCATGCTCGACCTACACCTAAGAGTGACCTTTCGCCGGAGTGACCTTGGGTGCGGGCACATGGGGGTTCCCCGATCGCCGAACGCGATGCGATAGTAGCGTCTTGCGCGCCTGTGTCTGGTCCCCCCGCGGCCCCCCAATGAGCCGCGCACCAGAGGTCACTCTTACCCAGGGTCACTCTTACGTGTAGCCGATCTGCACTGAAGAGTCGTTGATCATGTGATTGTTTGCCGAAGGCGGTTCTGTCTACCCCCGAAGCAGGGTCCGCTGTCTGCGTCACCCGCACACGTCGGGGCTGCGAGACAACATGCCGCTCGCCCAACGACGGCCGCTGCCGTTTCTGGAGCAACGTCTGCTGCTAGAAGTCGTGACCAATGTTTTCCGAACCCGTTTCGGGAGTGCCAAACCTCGGCCACGCGCAGAGGGGGGTGGGGGGAGGGGGGGAGGCTTCTTAGAAGCACCCCTGCTTCTTAGAAGGCGCGGTCCTTATGTATAGATGTAAGGCCGCCGCCTTCTAAGAAGCAGGCTCCTTCTAAGAAGCCTTCCCCCCTCCCTCCACCCCCTTCTGCGCGCCGCCAAAAACCGACGCCACGTGCTGCCGCCATCCACAGGCAGCCAACGCCTCGAGGCAAGCAAGCCGGAGGCGGCCCGCTGCGTTTGGGCCTCCCGGGGCCCCGCCCCTCGCTGGGCCACAGGGCCGTCATCATGGCGGCTCGAGGCGGACAGCCAGCCCCGGGAACACCGAGCCCCGAGAGCTTGCAGGCGTCTCATGGCGTGACCCCCCCAGGGGGTCTGGACCCCTTCCCCGGGATTATGATAGGATTTTCACGTGCCGGTCCTTGGGAAATGTTCTTTCGACACTGTCTCGACACTCGGCGTGGTACGCTCGTAGAGAGAGATAGAGGCTTGAGCCCAGGCGGGTGAGAAAAGAAGTGAATGAGTAGGTTGCCTGCCTGTGTAGTAGGAGGAAGTTTTTGAGGGGAGACGGGCCTCAGTGGCCTAGCTACTCCCGCTCCATTTTAGAAGCTGTTTTAGATAGCGTGTCCCTCCGAGGTTTGGTTCCAGGGTGGACCTGGCCACCTCGAGGGCGTGTTGAGGGAAACCGTAGATAGAGAGGGCTTAAACACGTTTAAACAAGAGCCTGATACGTTATCCTTTCCGCAGCCTCTTTGGCACAAAAGTTATCAAGTATTATTATGAGTATTAGTGTGTGTCGTATTGCTCTTATTCCAATTATTATTATTAGTAGTATCGATATTATTTGTCTTGCGATTCGTAGTATTAGTATTGTTATCCTTCCTATTATTATCATGATTAGTATTACTATTCGCATTCTTATTGTTATTATGATTCGTATTAGTATTCCTCTTCTTCTTCTTCTTATTATTATTATTATTCGTTTTCTTCTTCTTATTCTTCTTCTTATTATTATTATTATTATTCTTCTTATTATTATTGTTCTTCTTCTTATTCTTCTTCTTATTATTATTCTTCTTATTCTTCTTCTTCTTCTTCTTCTTCTTCTTCTTCTTCTTCTTCTTCTTCTTCTTCCTCCTCCTCCTCCTCCTCCTCCTCCTCCTCCTCCTCCTCCTCCTCCTCTCCTCCTCTCGCCCCTCATCCCCTTCTCCTCCCCCTCCTCCTCCCCCCCTCTTCCTTCCTCCTCCTCCTCCTCCTCCTCCTCCTCCTCCTCCTCCTCCTCCCGCTCCTCTTCCCCTCTTCTTCTTCTTCCCATTATTCTTCTTATTTTTATTGTTATTATTATCATCATTGTTAGTATAATTCGTTTTATTAGTATTATTATTATTTCTCCTTCTCCTCTACGTCCCACTTCCCCCCCCCGCGCCGGCAGGTCGGCAGTTTCCTGCCCTTCACGGGGGGCAAGCGCATGGACTTCTGCGCGGTCTCAGAGGGGGGGGGGGCCGGCGACGACGACGACGACGACAACGACAACGACGACGACGACGGCGACGACGACGACGACGACGACGACGACGACGACGACGACGACAACGAGACGGGAGGCCGAAGTGGAGGGCGGCGTCGTCGTCGCCGCCGCCGTCGTCGCCGTCGCCGTCGTCGCCGTCGCCGTCGCCGTCGCCAACCCAACGGTGCAACCCCACGGCCAGTCCAGGCTGCGGGGTGGAGCTCCCCCGCGCGCCGAGCCGAGTACCGCCCAAGCTCCCTCGCGTTGTGACAGACAAACATCACGACGGGAGGTTTCTCGCGTTTTGTCGCCCCCCAGGGGGTCTTACCGGGCCTCGGGGTCGTCAGATGATGATGATGATGATGATGATGATGATGATGATGATGATGATGATGATGATGATGATGATGATGATGATGATGATGATGATGATGATGATGATGATGATACCGATGTTGATGCTGATGCTGATGCTGATGCTGATGCTGATGCTGATGCTGATGCTGATGATGATGCCGATGCTGATGCTGATGTTGATGTTGAGGATGATGATGATGCTGTTTCTGCTGATGCTGATGCTGATGCTGATGCTGATGCTGACGATGATGATGATGATGATGATGATGATGATGATGATGATGATGATGATGATGATGATGATGATGATGATGATGATGATGATGATGATGATGATGATGTTGATGTTTTTGTTGGTGGTGATGATGAGGTGGCGGAGGAGGAGGAGGAGGAGGAGATCGCCGACGACGACGACGACGGGATGGAAATCCGGTCCCGGGGAAGGGGTCCAGACCTTTGGGGTCGAGGTTGCGGCAAAAAACACGACGTCGGGGGCCTGTGGCCGTGGAACATTGGAGGCGAGGCGACCCAGGAATGGGCGAGAAGCTCCGGCCATCCGCCCGCTCCGAGGCGCACAGCCCTCCCACGCCACGCCCTCCTCCTCATTCTACTTCTACTCCTCCTCCTCCTCCTCCTCCTCCTCCCTACTCCTCCTCCTCCTTTCCTCCGCCTCATCCTCCGCTCCTCCTCCTCCTCCTCCTCCTCCTCCTCCTCCTCCTCCTCCTCCTCCTCCTCCTCCTCCTCCTCCTCCCCATCATCCTCATCCTCCTCCTCCTCCTCCTCGGTGGCCCGAAACCGGTGGGGCGTTTCACAAAAGGGCCTTGCCTTCGAGGATCGAAGGAGTTGGCATCTCTTCCGCTCCTCCTCCTCCTCCTCCTCCCCATCATCCTCATCCTCCTCCTCCTCCTCCTCGGTGGCCCGAAACCGGTGGGGCGTTTCACAAAAGGGCCTTGCCTTCGAGGATCGAAGGAGTTGGCATCTCTTCCGCCGCGGAAGGCGGCGGAAGGGCGGCGGAGGTAAAACGAGGCCGCCTCCGCCGGCTGAAGCCGGCGGAGGGCTGGCGGAAGGCGGCGGAAGTAAAAGATGTGCCCCCAAGAGAGGAAAACGTTTTTGGGGTTCTGGGTTTCCGGAATCCGCCTTGTGGGTGTCCACGAGGACCCTCGGCGTCGGTTGCCCCGTCTTCTTCGCCTCCGACCTCGGCAAAACATGCATTCGAGCATACGATTGAGAAACCTCCTCCCGAGAAGCTGGGCCAGCGTTTCTTGACCAACGTGCCGGAAAGCTGTCCTGGTTTCTTCAGCGCGTTCGCCCCTCCAGCGTTAACACGAAAATTTGACCCAGGCTTGCCTTAAGAAACTTCTGGAAAGCTGACCCAGATTATTTTCGGCTGTGCAGCAGGGACTGGGGCGAACACCATGCCATTCGCTCTGACAGACCTCGTGCACCTCATCGTGCGTCCACCCGAAGACCCGAAGCGGAAGAAACAGCATGAACATAAACTTTCGGTCTTCCGCGCGGATTTGGTGGATCGGCGCTGGACCCTCCTCCCAGGCGCGCGGCGCGCGCGAGGAGGAGGAGGAGGAGGAGGAGGAGGAGCAGGAGGAGGAAGCAGGAGGAGGAGGAGGAAGAAGAAGCAGGAGGAGGAGGAGGCGGCTGAATGAGGAGGAGGAGGAGGCTGAAGGAGGGGCAGGAGGAGGAGGCTGAAGGAGGAGGGGGAGGCTGAAGGAGGAGGAGGAGGAGGAGGAGGAGGGGAGGCTGAAGGAGGAGGAGGAGGAGGAGGAGGAGGAGGAGGAGGAGGAGTGGGAGGGGGACGCTGAAGGAGGGAGAGGCTGAAGGAGGGGGAGTTCGAGGAAGAACAACGGCATAAGCACAAGCTTCCGGAGGTCCGCGCGCGCCCCCGCGCCGAACCCAGAAGTACCCGCACGGGTTTCCGAGAAAGTCTCCGTCCACGCTCGTCTCTGCCCCTTGAGGAGTGGCCGCGGCAGCAGGAGGAGCAGGGGCAGCAGGAGGGGCGGAGGGGAAGGCGGAGGAGGAGAAAGGATGAGGTCGGCAGTGGCGAGGAAGGAATCGGATTCGGAGACGTGGCCCACGCTTGGGGCGAGAGCGCCAGTCTGAACGAATAAAGCCAAGTGCCGACCCTGAGATTTGACACGCGCTGCAGCGGGGGCGCAGTCTTAAAGGACCGAGAGCGCTTCGATCGAAATAAGCAGTACAGAACGTGACAACATGAAATCCTGCGCGCGCGTGTGGCTGCTCAACGGTTGGCTACGTCCGTTCTTCATCAGGGCCTCTAGTCTTGCTCACGCGGCCACGCTCGATCCACTGTGTCCGCGTCCCGACTTGGTGTTTCTTCTTGATCCGTTAATTGCAACCCATCGGAGCGCTGGAGGAACGACTGCGCGTGTGCGTATGCATCATACCACATCCAGCCTTGGTTGCAATTCGTATGTATGCACCCCTTGCAGATTCTATCGCGACTGCTGTGTCACACCGCCAGCCGGTGAAAAGTGTGTAGGTGTGCATGCTACGCGGTCGTGGAAACACATTGCCAGATGTGGGAACAGGTGCGCGTGAGTGTGCATGCGTGCATGTAAAAGCTCGTTTCGGCGGCTCTTTATTGCATGCGTCAGCCACGCCCTGATCCCCCATCTGAAAGACCAGGTAGACCATCTGAAAGTCCTCCTCCTCCTCATCCTCCTCCTCCTCCTCCTCCTCCTCCTCCTCCTCCTCGGTGGCCCGAAACCGGTGGGGCGTTTCACAAAAGGGCCTTGCCTTCGAGGGTCGAAGGAGTTGGCATCCCTTCCGCGGCGGAAGGCCAGCGGAAGGCGGCGGAGGTAAGACGAGGCCGCCCCCGGTGGCGGAAGCCGGCCCAAGGCCGGCGGAAGCTGGCGGAAGTAAAAAACGCAACCCCAAGAGATGGTAACGTTTTTGGGTCCAGGGTTTCCGAAATCGCCCAGGTGGTAATTGATCTAGGCGTGGCCCGCCTAGTACTCGCTGTGGTGACACCCGCCCGGCCGCCGTCGAAAAGCGTTTCTTGCAAGATGGAGCGCTCGAAGGGGCGGGGGCACCGCTACAAGTGTTTCGTGGAGGGTGGAGCGCAGCATTTGTATTGGGCAACTGGAGGAGAAGGAGGAGGAGGAGGAGGAGGAAGAGAAAGAAGAGGAGCAGAAGGAGGAAGAGGAGGAGGAAGAAGAGGAATAGGAGGAGGAGGAGGAGGAGGAGGAGGAGGAGAAGGAGGAGGAAGATCAGGGGCAACGCTAGCGGGGGATAGGCCCAGAGGGGGACGCATCGGCGCCCGACCACCCACTCATCGGCCGACAGGGGGTACGATAGCCCGCCTCACCCAGGAACGCCACGGGCCCGCCATCGGGGGGGCCCATCGCCGATTTGCATCGGCGGTGCATCGGCCGATTCTATCTCGATGCCCCCCCCCCCCCCGAGCCAGTCCAGTCCCCCCTGAGCTGCCCCCCTCCGAGGAGGACGGCGCGGCGAGGCAGGGGCAGGGGGGGGAGGAGGAAGGCGCCGGGAGGGAGAGGCCGAGGTCCTCGGAGGTGCCCCGTGACGACGGACCCCGCGCTGCTATATGCGGGGCGCCTCTGCCGCCCCGTCGCGCTCCGGCTCGGGCCGAGGCGGCCCGCGCGCCTGCGGCGCCTGCGGCGCTGCTCTGCGCGCCCCCCGCCCGGCCTCCGCGCCCTGCGGCGCGGGCCGTGGCGGCCACGGCCCGAGCCGCGGGCGCGGCGCGTCGCGCGGCCGGGGGGGCGTCGGGCGAGGCCCAGCGCTGCGGCGAGGCGGGGCTGCAGGCTTGGGGGCTGATCTCCGGGAGCCCACATGCCGCGTCCCGCATCGGGGGGCGGGCGAAAGGGGGGGATAGGGAAAGGGGGGGTTACGAAATTTGCTGCATGCAGCTGGTTTCGGCCCCACCGAGGGGCCCATTCCTCGATACATAGCCGCCTCCGGCGCCGGGAGGCGCCGGGAAAATCAGCTACGTGAGCGGATTCTCAAACCCCCCCTTTGCTATCCCCCCTTTTCGCCCGACCCGAGCATCGGGGGCCGTGGTCGGGGGGGGGGGGGACCCGGGGTGGTCAGGTCCATCCCAGGCCAGCCCCGCGGACGCGCTGTTGCGCCGATGCTTGGGCTCCTCAGCCCCACATCGCGGTGGGGGGGGGGAATAGCTTTAAGTCGGGCCTGTCCCTCTACAGGGGGGCAGTATCAGAAAATAGTCAGGAGACTATTTTGGGTGTATTTTTTGACTATTTGGGAGCATTTTTTGAGTATCTTTTTTTCGTCGAAAATCTCCCTGTAGGGGGACACGCCCGACTTAAGAATAGCTCTCCGCCGCCTGGCCCCTCCATGCGCGGGTGCATGGCGGACCTTGCTCGGCAAGGTCCTCCACGGTGCTTTGGACGGCGGCGCAGTCACTCTTCATGCGGAGTCTTCCTCCGGCCGTGCGGAGCGACTGTGCGCTGCTGTGTTGAGCACTGCCTACTTCGCCCTTGTCCTGGCAATTGCTTGTTCGTTATCTTGCATCTTGCCGGCGTGCGCGCTTGCCGAGTCCACGGCTTTGTTTG